CCCCCTCCCTCCCTACGACATCGTCAATTTTCAATCATTTCAATCCAAAGACCAGTCGTATTTCGAGACAGACTCGAATGCATGTGATGCGCCCTCTGCGGGGCTCAGCGTTTGGTGATTGTGAGCCAGACCGTGCAAGCGGTGCTGTTCGATCTCGAATTTCGTGTGGACCTGACAGTGTTGAAGTTGACGTTGACGCAAGGCGAAAAGGACCAAACAGCGTGCTGTAAAGGCGAGCATGTATTGGCTAGCTGGCGTCTTTTAACCCATTTCGATCTCCTTTGCAACTCTCCAGATCGTCTCTTCGTGGCCCCACTGGGCCGTAAGGCAGATGCCAACGGGCCAACCGTCTTGCGCCACTCCAGCCGGAGCGCAGAGCGAGGGCAAGCCTGCCAAGGAAGCAGGCACGGTAAGAACATCTTGTACGTACGCGCTGGTTCTGCTAGCCGTCGACTTTTGCGCAGATGGATGTAGCACCGAAGCGAGTGTGGGTGCTGTAGAAGTAGTCGCGGGTCCCACTATCAGATCGACCCCTTCTTCTCCTCCTTCTCCTGCGCTCCTCTGCATCGGTCTGGTCTGCTTGCGCGATTCTTCCGACGATGCAGCAGCAAGCAGCACATTGACGTCTCTGAAAGCATTTTCAAATCCCCGCTGCACTAGCAATCTGACTCTTTGCGCTTGGAGAAAATAGTTGTCGAAAGCGGAAGATGTCAGGGCGTGCGTGCCTAGCAAGATGCGTCGCTTGACTTCTTCGCCGAACGCTTCTGAGCGCGTGTGCGCATATGGATGGACTTGGCCTTCAGAGATGCCCGATTTGTCCGTCGATTGATGACCTTATTGGCCACAATGGCGAGATGGGCGCACACGTCCGTGTCAGGGTGCTTGCCGCACAAAAGGCATACTCTTGGGCCACATGGCACTCACCGTATCTGACTCCATCATACCTTGCCAGGTTGCTGCTAGCCTCCGCGCTCGCAACGACATAGTAAGCTCCCAAAGCCGGCTTGACGCAGTTCAGACTGATGCTTTTCAGCACTGCGCCTCGTTGTTTGAGGTTGCTGAGCACGCCATGAAGGGGAGGTATGATCTGAGGTTCTAGCTCGGAAGGAAAATACTCGACAGGTATGCCTATCCGCAGACCTTCAAGCGAGCCTTTTGGGAACGATGCGATGCGGGCCTGTGCGGCTTCGCGGGCCGCCTTTCGCGCTTGATCAGGAACTGCAGATGGATCCTTCTCGTCGCGCACGTTCAAGACCTCTGCAGAGGGATGAAGCTGCTGAAATTAGCTGGGGCGAGCCTCGGACCACTCCGGCCTGGTGCAAGAATTCACCAAAAGCTAATTGAAGATCGTGAGGCGCTCGACCAAGCAAGCCGAGCGTATCCAAGCTGTCGGCGTAGGAGACCAGACCCCATCTGCTGATCAGTCCATACGAAGGCTTGAGTCCCCACACGCCGCAGTGCGAAGCAGGTATGCGTATCGATCCTCCCGTGTCTGAAGCCAGAGCTCTGCAAGGTTTTGCATGTGTTACGTCGACAAGTCTCGTGGTATAGTCAGCAAAACCGAGCAGGACAGCCGAGGACGAGAGGGGACAGATGCAGCTCACATTCGAGCTAGCCCTGCTCGGACACTGGCAGCTGCCCCGCCGGACGAGCCACCCGCAACACGTGGCTGGTGATAGGCCCTATGTCTTTGTCTCCCTTCGCTCTTATTTCCCATCGTGTATTCGTCCGGACTGGCGGGATTCAGCACTGGGCCATACACGGTGTGCAAATTGTGTGATCTGTAACATGGCACAAAGCGCTTGAATGCGTCAGAGAACGTCTTCATCTTCTCGACGCTACTCATCGTGAGTACAAATGGCCGCACGAGCTCACCCCATCCCGAACTCGTCGCAGTTCGTCTTGCCTATGAGCTGTGCGCCTGCTTGTCTGAGCAAACAGACAGCGGTCGCATCAAAAGGGGATGTGTAGCCTTTACAGGCACGACACAGCATATTGAGTGTTCGATCAAGCTTTCATGTCTACATCAAATGTGCACGAATGACTCACCGTGCAGCATTTGACTGGAGCAACTGGTAGGCATGTCCGTCGTGGCGATGTTGTCCTTGACCGACACTGACCATCCTTGCAGCGCGCCAGACTCGCCCTTTAAGGACTCAGCTCGAGCAGCGTGGTGAGTCCGGGGTGCAAGGTGCACGAGAGCATTGTAAGGGTCGTATCTGCCTTCTACTGGCGCTTGCGGATGAGTCTGAAACGACCTGCGAAGCGGTCGCGCCGGAGTGACGCTGCGTGTGCCTGTAGCATGCCCACGAACCGGTAATTTAGCGGAGTCACAGTATGCATGCGTGGCTGTACACAGTGCCTTACATTCGTCTTTGATTGCTTTGACCTCTTGAGTCCCCTTCCGTCTTGAAGCGGAAGCAGAGCCACTCCGCACGCTTATTTTGAACATCTTCGCAGCCTTTCTCTTCCGCACGTGAAGCTGTCTTTGCGCTTCGAATACTTGACGATGATGTGCGGGTCGTAGCCCGCACGCCGGTCTCTTGTCTACACGGCTTGTACGGAGATGGATGGTGAGATTCACGCTTCAAGTCAAAGGCCGACAATGAGCATGAGCATGCTGCACGCTGGTTCCTCACATCCCCGCGCCAGAATCCGAATCATGGATGCTGCGTACCGCGGTTGCTTCACAAAGCCGTGCTCCGTGCAGGGCACGTGACTGCCTGGCCTGGTGGGATCGGCTAGCTACAAAGCGCAATCAAGAATCGAGAATAGCATGGCGCAGCACGCGCGCAGCTTGCAAGCGTACACAACCACGAGTGAAGAGAAACGAGTCACAAGAGCAGGCTGCCTCGCTTGTTGCTTTCTGGACACCGTCACCGTCTTCGCTATCGTCGCGCATACACTGAGCGTGCGCCGCAGACGGCTGTCAAGGTATTCACATTGCCTCCTGGCTGGCTGACGGCAGATCATTCAACAGCCGCACCGGTCAAAGACCTCCGCTTATCAGTCACGCCTTGGCCCTCAAAGCTTCGCTTCTTTCCCCGCATCATGGCCCCCAAGAAGGAGAAGAAGTCGAGCGGTGGTGCTGCTGGAAACTCGGCCGAAATCTCAGCAGAGCAGACTCAACTGCTGGAACTGTTTTCGCGCATCTCTCTGAGCGGACCCAAAGCGCTCGAGCTGACTCGATTACCGGCTCAGTCCAAAGCTCTTCAAGAAGTCATCGAAGATTTGCCCAGCGAGGTGGGCCAGCTCGATCAAAAAGTATCCGGGCTGATCGTCTTGGTGTGTGCGCCTGCCAATCTGAAAGGCGTAGAGCGCAGTCAAAGGAACTACTTGGTCAGGAGGGTGCTGGACGGCAGCATCAACACCTCGGATAAGGTCACTGGTGAGTGCACGGCACCGAACACGGCATGTATGCATGCACTCGGTCAGCATGCTGATGAGCTTTTGATTGGAATCTGCTATAAGCGGCTGCCAAATTCCTTTTCAGCAGCCAACCAGAGGTGGATCAAGCCGCGTTCGATGAGGCCTGCGGTGTCGGTGAGTGCGATCGTCTGGTGGCACCAGGAGCAAGAGGAGCCCTGCCAGCACAAGGATGAGAATACAAAAACAAATGCATGTATTAGAGTCGACGAGCTTTGGCTCCATGGCTGCAAAATCTACTCGACTGATCTTTGGCGTGGCTCTCGCAGTATGTCGGAGTGCACCACAGAGTGGTTGAGCTGACACACCTTCGCTGCACCACTCTATAGGAGTCGTCGTCACTCCGGAAACAATAGACTCCCTCGCGAGTCAAGAAGTAGGAGCAATAGCTTCCAAAACCGCAGCTCAGGAGGCATGGGCATCGCAAAGTAACCTCATGGTCAAGCTGCGCTCGAATGAAGAGCTGCGGTGGGCTTCAGCAGTGGATGTCAAAGATGCGTTGGAGAAGCACCTCACGCAACGCTTCGGCAGCAGGGCAGAAGCGCTTCAAGCAGCTAAGGAAGCTAGGGAAAAATCAGTGGCGGAAGCCAAAGCTGCCAAGGCCGCCAAGGCCGCGCAAGGGAATGCGTCCAATGCCGCACCCGCTGTGGAAGAGGCAGATCCTACTGCCATGTTCAAGCAGGGCTTCTTGTCGCAGTTGCACGCGCCCGGAGAAAATGCGCAGGGAAATCCCAAGCACAAGCAGCTTCATCTCAATGCGACCGGCGGCAAAGTCTTCACTCGCTTCCCACCCGAGCCCAATGGCTTCCTACACATTGGACACACCAAAGCGATAGCGATCGACTTTGGATACGCAAAATACCATCAAGGTAGCTGCTACCTGCGCTTCGACGATACGAATCCCGAAGCGGAGGAGCAGATCTACTTTGATGCAATCCTGGAGATCGTTCGGTGGTTGGGCTTCGAACCCTGGAAGATAACCTACTCTTCAGATTACTTCGATCAATTGTACGCTCTGGCTTTGGAGCTGATCAAAAGAGGCAAAGCGTATGTGGATCATTCTACTGGAGAGGAAATCAGGGCCGAGAGAGGTGGAGAGGAACGGGGGCCGAGAAAGGAATCGAAGTGGAGAAATAGACCGACAGAAGAATCGTTGAAAGAATTTGAGAGGATGAAAAATGGAGACTATAAACCTGGAGAAGCTACATTGCGGATGAAGCAAGATATCTTGGGCAATGGCAATCCTCAAATGTGGGATCTGATCGCATATAGAGTGCTCAATGCATCTCATCATCGGACAGGCGACAAGTGGAAAATTTATCCGACTTACGATTTTACGCACTGTCTGGTTGATTCCTTTGAGAACATCAGTCATTCCCTCTGCACCACCGAATTTGTCCTCTCTCGGGAGAGCTACGAATGGCTGTGCGACGCAGTAGACGTGTACAGACCTCGTCAGTACGAGTTTGGAAGGCTGAGCCTGGAAGGCACGCTCACCAGCAAGAGGAAGATTTTAAAATTAGTCAAGGAGAAGATCGTGGATGGATGGGACGACCCGAGGCTTTATACACTCTTGGCTTTGAGGAGACGAGGTATACCTCCGGGCGCCATCCTCAGCTTCATCAACGAGCTCGGAGTGTCCACCAGCCCATCTTCTATCCCCCTCGCTAGATTTGAGAATGCAGTGAGAAAGTACCTGGAACTTCATACGCCTCGTTTGATGATGATCCTTCAACCACTGCGCGTGGTTCTGGAGAACGTACCGGAAGGCTTCAAGGTAGAGATTGAAAGGCCGTTGCATCCCAAGGTCCCTTCCATGGGCACCTCGAAGCAGTTCTTTGTCAAAGATCTCTGGATAGAGAAGGAGGACTTCCGAACTGTGGATTCGAAGGACTACTTCAGGTTGGCGCCCGGAAAGACCGTTGGCCTTCTGGGTGCTCCATTCCCGGTCACGGTGACATCCTGGGTCGACAGCTCTGGCTCGACAGAAGGAGAGCCGCGAGAAGTGAGGGTCCGATACGAGGATCCAGCGTTTGGCGGCAAGGGAATGAGCAAGCCCAAGACATACATCCAGTGGCTGGGCCAGGACGAAGAGTCGGGCAGTCCGATCAAGATCGATGAAGTGAGGATACACCATCGTCTCTTTCACTCGGATAATCCGGCAGGGGAGGACAACTTTCTGGACCACGTCAACAAAGACTCTTTGGAAGTGCACCGCGCAGCGCTCATCGAGTCTTCATTTTGGGATGTGGCAAGGCGGTCATTTGCACGAGCTCGGTCTGAAGCTTCGGCCCGCACTGACCAAGCGAAGACGGAAGCTGCTGCAACGAAGGAGAAGGAGAGCAAAGCTGTCGAAGAAGGAGTCAAGGGTGCCGTCAAGACGGGCGATGGAGCTCCCGAGCGAACGCAGGAGCAGCTGATCGGCAATGAATGCGTCAGGTTCCAAGCTATGAGGATAGCCTACTTTGCTCTGGACAGAGCGGATATGCAACCTCTTACCGAGAGCAGCACCCCGGACAGAATAATCCTCAACAGGATTGTCAGTTTGAAGGAGGACGCGGGCAAGAGCACTAGTGCGAAGTGAAGGCGCATGCATGAGGTCGCTTGCTGCCCTGTCGATTTCCTTGCATCTTTCACACAAGGTGCCTTCGCCTCTTGCCTCCAGCAGAGCGTGGATCTGCTGCGTTGCCGCCTTAGCAATGCTGTCCAGCAATCGAAATCCAGCTGTACTGTACGCTCTTTAGTGGAGTGGAACGCGAATTGCCTGTCACACACATGATCTACACGCTTGACAATCGGACGATGCGCGATCTCGGGAAGGGAGCCACTTGCTATGTGATTCTGTGCTGTAAGATCCTTTGTGTACACACCGCCTGATCAGACTGCATGCGCGATTTGGTAGGACAACTCCGGCGCGACGAGGCTGTGTGCAATGGGACGGTATGGCCCGCGATGCTCAAAGCGCGCAAATCGTGCAGTCAGAATTCCCTCGGGAGCAGATCTGGCGACGCAAACACCGAACGATCAAATCGACAGTTGGTTGAGGGAAGCATGACTTGGGTGTTGGGAAAGAGCTTGGCTATTGGAACATTTGGCCTGGGGCGAGGCAAAAAGAGAGGACACTGCAGCACAAACTTGCTGTGCAGTGTTCCTGCTGGAGGAAAAATTCCCCCTTTTGTATACTTGTAGGGTGCGAATGCTGCATGGATGATCGGGCCACGATGACGATTGAAGCGTGCAGACCGACGGGTAGCCGAACGCGCCACCTCTGCGAGGACGCGGCGTTTCAAGATGGGCGAAGGATACTGGGCGCATTGAGCGCGCATTTACTCGTCATCGTCATCCTCGTTGTCCTCGTCCTCATCCTCATCATCGTCCTCGTTGTCCTCATCCTCTTCCTCCTGAGCCCTGAGCTGCTCGCTTACAGCCGTAGCGATACGGTCCACATCTCTCATACCATCCTGAGAGATTCTTCGACCACCCTTGGGGTCCTTCTCCAACACTCCGATTCCCTCCAGACCCTGAACGACCTTGCGTTGAACGGAACCGGAAGCGTCGGCGTGCTTGGCTGGTCTGAATCCTCGGTTTTGCGCACCTCCTTGGTACTTCATCAAAGAGGAGAGACCGACAGCCTTGCGCAGGTAGATGTGGCGTGCGAGAGCAGCTGAAAAAGACAGAAAGGAGCGGAATCGTCAGTGCCATGCGTCGATCGACATGCCTGCTTTCAAGAGTACAATGATGACGCATGCAACCGGTGCGCAGCTTTCGCGTTGTGACATTCGGCACACCCATCCTGGATCGTGCCGAGGGCACGAGAGGGCTGTCCAAGTGACATCTCCTGACACCAAATCATCCCCAGCTCGGCTCGACCTGTGCTCTTTGCCAGACCTCGCCCTTGCCCGCGCCGAGCATTGATAGACCTGACTGGTGCGTGCGCTCCTCCCAAGCAGTCGACCTGCGTCTCCTGTGACTCTATTCACCCTCTACATAGCGGCTTCTTCCTGACTGCCTTTCTGCCGAGCATTTTGGCCCTCTTCAACCCTCCAAGTAGAAGTACTTACCAGCGCGAACGTAGAACCAGTCAGGATCATACGGGGCCAATTCCTTTCCCTTTCCGGTCTTGACCGTGTCTGCCCAAGTGGGGACCTCGATCTTTCCTGCTCTCTTCAAGTGATTGGCGTAAGCCGTAATGAAAGCGTCGGCTGGGACGTCTGTATTTTGCGATGGAATAGACAGCCGTGTCAGCGTGAGAGCGCATTTTCTAGGTCTTGCGGCTTGATAGCAAGAGGCACGCACCGCGGACACCCATGATGAAACGATCTTCTTGAGGGCTGTATGCGGGTCAGCGGATGGGAGACAATGACGATAAGCGGTATTGCGGAGAGACGCGATGAATGTCTAGCTGATGCTCACGAGCGAGACTGATCTTGAAGCGTGAATGTGTGCGGATATGGTAGTAGCGCAGGGGCTGTCTGGGAGGACTTGCGATGTAATGTTCCAATGGCTCGCTCAGCTTCACTCGTCAGGCGCTTCGCTCGCTCGGCTCCTAGTGCCACGCAAAGGCTCGCCCCGTCACAGCGCCAAATCTCTCGTGCGGCGGCCGTCATGCGCTGCGACACCCCCCACGACGGGCCGGCGCGCGCCTGCTGCTGCTGACTGCCGGAAGATTCTCGCTCGCGTGGCCTCCATGTGGCCGCAGTCAGCGCCGCGCCGCGCCCGCTGCATATGTCAAATTCTTACGCGCGAGAGAAGCGACGTGCAGGCAGGCGCAGCAGCTCTGCCATGCCCTTGAGCGGCAGGAGGAAGGCGATGGATGGGCATGGGTTGCGCGCCAGAAAGCTTGACCCGCGACCCCAGCCACGAGCCGCGAGTAGCACAACAGCAGCATCATCCGCCTCGTCCACCACCACAATCAACCCACATCCAGCAACACACGCATACAGCACTCTTCAAGATGGCTCGTGATCCCAAGCAGAAGAAGACTCGTTCCGCTCTGGACGATGTCAAGACCATCGAGGCTTCCATTCACCTTCACAAGCGTGGTGAGCATTCGCTGCGGGAACTGCTGCGATAGACGATGAGGCTCTGTGGGGAGGTCATGAAAGCCAAGGATGGTGCGAGAAGGGGTGCTTGAGGTCTGCGCTGGAGGCCTCATCTCTATTTCGGAAAGAAGGGTCTGTGTGTGGACGCTGTGCACAGGGTGGAATAAAGGCGCGCGGGGTTGAGTGCCCAGGCAGATTCACCTCTCCCTCACGGCTTGGAGCTAGCGGCGTTGGCACCATTCGTCGAGCATCGCTGCCACACGTCGTCTGTCACTCAGCAAGCGATTTTGGTGTTTGGGAAGCGACGCAGGCCTACAAAATCACACGCATTAGTGGCACCTTTACTGACCCCATCTCACGCACCAACACCATCTCTCTGAACAGTGCACGGCCTTGGCTTCAAGCACCGATCTCCCAGAGCAGTCAAGGAGGTCCGAGCATGGGTAACCAAGCTGATGGGAACAAAGGATGTGCGTCTCGACCCAAAGGCAAACCACGTCATCTGGCAGTTGGGTATCAAAGATGTCCCTCGTAGACTTCGTTTCCGTCTCGAACGTGAGTACTCACAGCCGCCGTCTGGAGGAATCGAGAGTGAAAGAACGGTGTCAAGGGGCTGCATTTGCTGGCACGTGAGGCGATGGGATCAGAGGAAGCAAAGAGATGCGCGCGTGGCAGACATCCGGGTGTCGACGTGCTACCTGGCCACGGGAGGTGTGTACGTTACCGGCCCGGCTAAATCGCTCGACAAGACCTCCGGTGCCTTCTACCATGGCGAAGGCGTCGAGAGCAATGTCATTGCGCTATCGATGTTGTTCATCATCACGAAGTCGGGGTCGGAGAGCTAACATAGCTCTCTGCGACGCTCGCCTCGGACTCACAGGCAAGCGTAACGACGATGACCAAGCCAAGGAGCGCCTGTATACTCTCGTCACTCCCGTACTCGGCATCACCAACTTCCACGGCCTCCAAACCACCGTCATCGACCAGGAGTAGAGGTGGTCGGTGTGAAGAATGGATGGAAGGCAAGACGGCCGAGATGGTCTGGATTAGGCATGCGCCCCTATGCATGGGGAAAGGCAGGCTTCTTGGCGTAGATGGGGATCACGCCTGCTCCACGCAAAATTAACAACACGCACGGGTCTGACGACTTACATCCCACGCATCCCCCATGCAATCTGTACGAGTTTCTTTTCTCTCGATATGTGCTTCGTGGGGCTGTGCTTCGAGTCGTGAATGATGAGACACGCATCTGGCATGGCATGGCATGGTGAGGAGGGTCAAAAGGCCCTGCAAAGCCGCCACGCTGATACCCCAAGCGGTGCAAGACGCAAAGTCAGTTCGAATGGCGAGCAGTTGCCGGTGCAGAACAGCGGACCGCAGACTCAGCCCGCTGCCCGCTGCCCGACGCTCACCTCAGCTTTTTGGAGTGTGGGGTCCATCGCGTACGCCCACAAGGTGCGACAACGCGGCCTCCCTTGACCTTTCGTACCACACCGGCTGGCTACGAGCGCGCAAGGTGCGAGCTTTCAATTCATCACGAGTGTGCAAACGCTTTTCGAAACAGCGACCTACCTTTCTCACGGTCGAGGTCTCAGCATAAAGCCAGTCTGTCACGATGAGCCATACATTCAAAATTGCGTGAGTCTGAGGGCCGAGTTTTGACAGGGGAGGGTCTCACAAGAGCCGCGCGTCCACGCAGCATGGTCAGGCCCAGCCATGCAGGTTAGAACGGAAAGGAACGGTGCTAAAGGTAAACCATTAAAATTTCGACTTTAGCATCAGAAGAGCTATACTACTCGGTCTAGCGATTTGCTTCACGAATATGCATGACAGTCATGTTCATTATTTGCGCTTGAATGTCATATTATTACTTTCATGAAGCCTGAGCTGCTTGTTGAGCTTCCACGCCTCTGAAAATGTCCCGCATGTGACCTTGAGCATCCGACGCTTGCTTTTCCAAAAACTGAGCTCATGCGATGCGATTTGTGAAAATTGGAACCGAGTGCCAGCAAGGATTTGGGGAATCAAATGGGCGCAAAAGAGGTGCACGTCGGGGAGCAATGGACCGCGGTACGATTGGAGCGCAAAGAAGCAGCAGCAGCAGCAGCAGCATGTCAGCATCTCGGACAAGTGTAAGTCTTGAGCGCTGTGAGAAGCAAAGTGCACGGGTGCGTGCAATGCGATGCGATGCGACGCCGTCGACTTTGACGCACCTTTTGCTTCTTGCTCAAGTTGGTCACCTCTTCCGCCAGCACCTTTTCCTTGCTGCTCAGCTGCGCGACGATGTGCGATTTGTCTTGCAGCATGAACCTGCCAGCCAGCCAGCATGGACATCGCGGATGCACAAGAGGAGCAGACGGTGAATCATGAAGCCTACACGTCACACGTGATGATGGATGGCATACAAACGCTCCAGCCAGCTCGCCCTCGCCCTCGCACTCGCACTGCTTACTGGCCCGCAGCCTCGCTCGC